AAACAAATGAGACTTAATTAAACTGAAAAGCTTCTGTACTGCCAAGGAGATAACAACCAAAGCAAACAGGCAACCTACACAATGTGAAAGGATATTTGCATACTTTGAATCAGACAAAAGCTTGATAACTAGGATCTACAGAGAACTCAAATTAATCAACATGAATAAAAGCCAACAATCCCTCATATAAATAAACAAGAAAGGTGAATAGGACCTTCTCTAAAGAAGACAAATGGCTAGCAAACTTATGAAAAATTGCTCAGCATTCCTAATTATTAGAGAAATGCAAATCAAAACCACCCTGAGATATCATCTAACCCCATGAGAATGGCCCACATCACATCTCAAAACTGCAGACGCTAGCGTGGATGTGGAGAGAAGGGAACACTTTTACACTGCTGGTGGGACTGCAAACTAATACAACCTTTTTGGAAGGAAGTATGGAGAACTTTTAAAGAACTCAAATTAGACCTCCGATTTGATCCTGCAATCCCATTACTGGGCATCTACCCAGAAGAAAAAAAAAATCCTTTACCATAAGAACCCTTGTACTAGACTGTTTAACACAGCTCAATTTACAATCGCCAAAATGTGGAAACAGCCTAAACCAACCCAGGAATAGATTAACAAGCTGTGGTATATGTATACCATGGAATACTTCAGCCATTAAAAAAGATGGAGACTTTATATCTTGTGTATTAATCTGGACAGAAGTAGAACACATTATTCTTAGTCAAGCATCACAGGAGAAGAATCCTATGTATGCAATTCTGATATGAGGACAATTAATGACCTAGTATGAGGTGGGGGTGGGGGAAGGGGTGAGCGGAGAGAGGGAAGAAAGGAGTGAGGGTCACGGTGTGTGACACATCTTTTGGGGGCACGATACAATTATAAGAGGAACTTTACTTAACAAATCCAATCAATGTAACCCAGTTCCGTGTACCCTCAACAATAAGAAAAAAAAGGAAAAGAGAAGCAGCTTAAAATGGCAATTTGGCTCAGCACCTGTAGCACAGCAGTTACAGTGCCAGACACATACACCAAAGGTAGCAGGTTCAAATCCAGCCTGGGCCAACTAAACAACTGCAAAAAAAAAAAAAAAA